CCTTCTCTCCCCGCCAGGAAGGGAGCTGGGAGGTCAAAGGGTAACACCAGGCACTTTTTTCTCACTGCCCCGGTTTGGTTTTCAAGGTTTTCCATCTTGGAGGGTAGTGGAAGGGGCAGAGGGAACGGACCTGGGGGAGGGAGAGCCAGCTCATAAGCCGTTTTTCCATGGAGGAAGGAGGCCCTGAGCCTGACAGACCCCAGGGGCAGAGGGGAGGAGCACACACACACACATAGCCCGTGGAGAATGGGTTTCCTGTCTGCCTCCTCTCCTGCCCTAATTAGCAGCTGCCCCTCCCCACATTGTCGCAGACCAGCGCCCGGCCAAGGCCTCTTTTGTGCTCCCAGATTCCTGGGTGCAAGGTGGCCTCATTAGTGCCGGGAGACTGCCCCATCTCCAAGGAGCAGGCAGACAGAGAAGCGGAGAACCGGGGGCGCAGTGATCCAACCCCAGCCTCTGAGTGTCCTGGCGGCCATTCCTTGGGCCCAGCCTGGAGACGGCCCCCGTGTCCGAGGCTAATCTTAGATTTGCCTTTGTCTAGCCCCAGAGTGGACGGAAGTGCCCCCCCACCTCAGAGCATTATAAACCCCAGGCCCCTGCTAGCCAGTCACAGTCGGCGGCCTTCCAGTTCCTAGCTGTTTGGACCACTGGAGACGGCGCCTTTCCCTGCTGCTCCACTCTGAGCTCCAGACACCATGAGCCCTCCCTCTACAAAGGTAAAGACCCAGGGATGGAGGGGACGCACATTCCGGGGGCAGTGAGAACGCTTGCTCCGGGGCTGGAAGGAAGGCTGAGAGTCCCCCCTCTTGTTCTTCTCCTGAGTGGGCTCTGGGGCAGGCAGGGCCCTGGGGGGACGCTTGGCTGAGGACCTGCCTTGGTTAAGGCTGGTAGCGCCCCGCTCTCCTAAGAGCTCGTGTGTATTGCGCACGTACTATTCATCGCGCACGTACTATTCATCGGGTGCTGCTTGTACCTGTCATCGCGTTTCCTCCTCCCAGCAGCCCTGCCCGGTGGGGAGTATTTAATACCCAGTTCACAGGTGAGGAGGCTGTGGCCCCTAAGAGGCTAGGAAACGGGGCCGAAGCCCAGTTCAGTGCCCCTGCAAAGGAGCAGGCAAACAAGACAACGATTTGGACCCTGCTAGCCTGGATTTGCACGGGTTTGCCGCAGTGGGTAGGGGGAGTGGGGCTAAATAGGGCGTTTTCGAGTGCACAAACTTCGGTGCAGACAGACTCTCACACCTGTTTTCAGGCGGAGTGGTAAGCACTCTAATGGGGTAACGACGAATTAAGAGGAGACAGGGATCCATTCTGCCCAGGTCTCCAATGACCCCCTTCTGAAGGGGCAGCCAGGAAGGGGCGCCAGCCAGGAGGGGGCGCGCGGCCATCTGGGCAGGGCCTGGGTGTAGGGGCTGGAGGCGGGCGCGGCG